TCAAGGTTATGGGCCACAAATAATTGCCTCAAGTACACCACGTACTCCGAAACAAAGCAAGAATTTCTACATGGCAAAGGGCGGACGGAGCGGAGCACCTGCGAACGAGAAGCAACCAACCCTCCTCGATGACTTCGGTAAACGTGACACTCCCCCCCTTTCTGTTGGTATGTCAAAAACCCATTCCCGCCCCCGCCAACAAGAAAAACCCCTGCCGAATACATCTTCAGTTGCACACCACTACCCAACGTTTCACTCAAGCCTTGTTCAGAACACGTCGTTTTCGACCACGCTCATCGATGAAGAAAACGTCGCACCAGTGAACAAGACAAGATCAGCTGCAAATACAAAATTTAACCATGGGGCGGGCCACACGCTTACCCGCATCTCGAGTGCTGCGGGTGCGTTCACCCGCTAAAAATGCACCGTGCACCCCCCGCAAAAACGCACATCTCGCCATGCATCACTCACCTCATTGCTTGTGGCACCCCCAAGTGCTGCTGCGAGTCAACCTACTTGGGTGAAAACGCAAACCAACGAACAAACAGCTACAGTGGATACACGAGGCCGCCTGCCTCCTCGCACCTCGCAGTAGGTGGTACACACAAAAGGGCTAGCAGGGTGGGGAGCACCAAGCGGGGTGGGGGGGGGGGGGGGATCCCTGAAAACTAAATCCCCCTAATAAATAAAAATCCCTATCATTTAAAAATAACAGCTCTTGGTGCTTAATCTAGGCCTGGAAAGCCAAAAAATAAACAAACGACATTTCCAGAATACATGGGAGTAAATCAACACTCTAGCTAGCCCCCCCGTGGAAGGGACGAGCGAAAAATGTCCACAAAACAAAAAACTTTTATTTCCCAAACAACCGCCCTTTTGGGGGGGTATAACTTCCGGCCGAAAAAACGCGAATACCTGCCTCTGTTGGCTTTTTCTTACCCGCTATTGGGGCGCAGCAGTAGCAGCACAAGCAACGTGTGCCGAAAAAGAGGGGGGCAGCACCCGCCCTATGCCCCCCCCGCATTAAGAGCACCACTTCGCACCCTGCGACAACTCCTAACAATGGAGTACAAAACTCATCCAGCACAACACTGCAATATACGACCTGCAGGTGTTGTTGTTGTCGAATGCGATTCGGATCGGGCAGCAGACGCCCCCGCATCGACCGGCTGATCAATAGGGCCGAAAAACAAGCTGGAGGGGCAACATTCTTCCCCCCCCCCCCAAACAAGCAAACAAAACATGCTATACAACGTCATCCAAAGGCCACCCGAGGCACTAGTGAGAAACATGATACAACCGAGAAACGCCACTTACGAACGGAAAGGCCTACTGTACATGAGGAAAATCACGAAAACAAGCCCCCCCTAAAAGGTCGGAGCTCGACGCTTGCTAGAGGTTTCATGACCAATCAAATTCAACATAAAAATGCAAAGGGATTTGTTTCACGTAGGATAAGGGCAACAACAAAAAATGAGGCGGCACCGGACGGGAGTGCATGCAGTCCGTCTCTGCCTTTTGCTCCGACTCAGTCCAAGCACCCCTGTATCCTAATCCAATGCAACAAGCAGCAACGAATCGAGGGCTTTCCAGTAAACCAAAAAAACAGCCTACAGCCGCGGTCCATCAAGGATCGCATTTTGTTGGCAGTGGTCTACGAGGATCTGGTCTGATCATCACCCATCGCACAGCAGCGGGTGTCTCGCAGGAGGAGGGTTGGGAAAATCGCTCCTTCACCCCTAGATCGCCACTTGTTTCCTTCCTTCCATTCCATCACCCTGAGAACACCCCTTTCCTTTCAGGAGAGACAGAGAGAGCGACAGAGAGCTTAGCCGCACCTCAACGCCCGTCCGAACCGATTTCAGGAAGCCAGGGTCTCGGCAGCCGTGGCCGCGGTCTCCCCAGCAGACCCCTTTCGGGGCAAGGTCTCCTCCTTCTTCGCCCCGTCCTCGACTTTTTGGGCTTCCTTGTCGGCTTCGCTTGCCCCTCCGTCATCGCTGCCTGGCTCCTTGTGCTTCATGGCGTGGGCGACGAGAGTCTTGCAGACGGCCCCTGCTTCCAGGTCGTCGCAGGCCTCGAACGAAAAGAATTCGCTCTTGCCGACAACGCCGATCTTCACCAGGCTACCGGTTGACATTACCTTCAACGGGCACAGCAGCGGGGGGGGGGGGGGGGTCCCGGGGAGGGAGGAACCCCCGGGAGCATCCACCAAAAAATAAAAGGGCTCCCGTTTTAAAAACAAAAAAAAAACGGGTGGGTTTCGCGAAGGGAGCCAAATCTTAAAGGGTGGGGGCCCCCCCAAAAAAACCACCCCCCCCCCCCCAAAATTTTCTTTTGGTTAAAACCAAAAAACCGGGGGAGCCCCC